AAGGGGTTCAGACCCCAAACTGTGGGGATCTCATCCCCAAATTTCCAGGGTTTGTCCACAAAACTCTTGGGATTTCATTCCCAAATCTGTGGGATTTGTCCCCAGACTTGTTGGGATTTCAGCCCCCAATCTCCAGGGTTTATCCCCAAAACCCCCAAGATTTCAGCCCCAAATCTCCAGAATTTGTCCCCAAAACTTGTGGGATTTCACCCCCAAATCTCTGGGGTTTGTCCCTAAAACCCCCAAGATTTCAGCCCCAAATCTCTGGGGTTTATCCCCAAAACCCCCAAGATTTCAGCCCCAAATCCCCGAGTTTCAGAGGCAGAACTGCTGCAGTTCTGCCCCAAAAATTTCTGGATTTCACTCCCAAAAACGCCCAAATTCCTCCCAAAAATTCAAGATTTTGGACCCAAAAAGCTGCGATTTATCCCCAAACCCATCGGGAATTCAGCCCTAAACTCCTCAGATCCCCCAAAATCTCCCAATTTCAGGGTTTCACCCCAAAAGCTGCTGCTATTTTTCCCTCCTCATTTTATTCCCCTTAATTTATCCCATTAATTTATCCCAATTAATATAATTTTATTCCCCTTAATCCCCATTTAATTTTGCCCCCCCCCCCAGGTACAAATGGAGCTGGGATAATTTGTATTTATTTGAGGTATTTGTATTTATTTTAGTGAAATTTGTATTTATTTTAGGAATATTTTTATTTATTTCGGGGTATTTGTATTTATTTCAGTGACATTTGTATTTATTTTAGGAATATTTTTATTTATTTCGGGGTATTTGTATTTATTTCAGTGACATTTGTATTTATTTTAGGAATATTTTTATTTATTTTGGGGTGTATTTATTTAAATGGGAGGTTTGTATTTATTTTCGGGAAATTTGTATTTATTTTAGGGGAGATTTGTATTAATTTGGGGGAGTTTATATTAATTTTAGGAATATTTCCATTCGTTTTTAGACCTTTGTAATTTAATTTAAAGCTTTTTATTTCTTCTGGGGTGCATTTATTGAAATTTGTATTTATTTAAAAATAATTTTGATTTTTTTTGGGGGGGGTCAGAGGTGCTGGGGGGGGCAGAGCCCCCCCAAAAATGTCAATAAAGGGGTCACAAAGACCCCCAAAATTGTCAATAAAGGGGTCACAAGACCTGAGTGGCTCTGGGGGTGTCCTGGGGGTCCCCCCCTGTGGGAAAGGGGGGCTCGGACCCCCCAAAATGGGATCAGAGCCCCCAAAATGGGTTTAGAGACCCCCAAAATGGGCACAGAGCCCCCAAAATGGGATCAGACCCCCCCCAAAATGGATTCAGAGCCCCCAAAATGGGATCAGACCCCCCAAAATGGGTTCAGAGACCCCAAAAATGGGATCAGATCCCCCAAAATGGGTTCAGAGACCCCAAAAATGGGATCAGATCCCCCAAAATGGGTTCAGAGACCCCAAAAATGGGATCAGATCCCCCAAAATGACCCCAGATCCCCCCAAAATGGGTTCAGAGACCCCAAAATGGGCTCAGACCACCCAAAATGGGATCAGACCACCCAAAATGGGTTCAGAGACCCCAAAATGCGTTCAGAACTCCCAAAATGGGATCAGAACTTCCAAAATGGGCTCAGAACTCCCAAAATGAGCTCAGAGCCCCCAAAATGAGCTCAGACCCCCCCCAAACGGGCACAGAGACCCCAGAATTGGATCGGGGGTCAGGGGGGGTCCCAGATTTCGGGGTCCCCCCCCAGGACCCCCGGACTCACGTCACCTCCCGGAAGGATCTTTTCTCCACGTATTTCACCCGGTAACGCCGCTTGAACCTGGGGAAAAAACCCAAAATTGGGTCAGAAACGCAAAAATTTGGGGCTTTTCCATAAATTTGGGGTTTTTGGGAAAATCTGGGGGGTTTTTCCTGTGAAAATTTGGGGGTTTTCCTGTGAATTTTGGGGTTTTTCCTGTGGATTTGGGGGGTTTTCCCCTCAATTTTGGAGTTTTTCCCACTGAATTTTGGTTTTGTCCTCGGAATTTTAGTTTTTTGCCCTGAATTTTGGGGTTTTTTCCCCCTGAGTTTTGGGGTTTTTTTCCCCCTAAATTTTGTTTGGTTTTTTTTTTCCCCCCCCCAAATTTTGGGTTTTTTTCCCCCAAATTTTGGGGGGTTTTTTCCCCCTAAATTTTGGTTTTCTTCCCCTGAATTTTGTTTTTTTTCCCTCTAAATTTCGTTGGTTTTTTTTTTTTCCCTGATCTTTGTTTTTTTTCCCTGGAATTTCGATGTTTTTCCCCCTGAATTTTGGGGTTTTTTTCCCTGAATTTTGTGGTTTTTTCCCCTGAATTTCAGGTTTTTTCCCCCTAAATTTTGGTTTTCTTCCCCTGAATTTCATTTTTTTTCCCCCAAATTTTGGTTTTTTTCCCTCTAAATTTCAGGGTTTTTCCCCTGAATTTTATTTTTTTCCCTGAATTTTGGGTTTTTTCCCTGGAATTTTGATGTTTTCCCCCCAAATTTTGTTGTTTTCCTCTGAATTTTGATGTTTTTCCCTCTGAATTTCGGGGGTTTTTTGCCCTGAATTTTGAGGCTTTTCCCCCTGAATTTTGGGTTTTTTTCCCCTGAATTTTGTTTTTTTTTCCCCTGAATTTTAATTTTTCCTTCGGAATTTCGTTTTTTTCCTCCTAAATTTTGATTTTTCCCTCTGAATTTTGGTGTATTTTTCCCTGAATTTTGGTGGTTTTTTTCCCCTAAATTTATTTTTTTTTCCCCTGAATTTTTTTTCCCCCCAAATTTAATTTTTCCCCCCAAAATTCTGTTTTTTTCCCCCTGAATTTTGAGTGACTCACTTGGCCCTGAGGCGCGGCTCGATCATGTTCCTCCTCTGGAGGCTCTTGAAGCGATCCCTGAGCACGTTCCCCTCGGGCTGGGACACCAAAACCAATTCCAAAATCCCGTTTTTAGCCATTCCTGAGCCTTTTTTTTGCTTTTTTCCCCCAAACCGGGGGTCTCAGCAGCCTCAGCCCCCCCGGGGTCTCGTCCCCGTGACCAAACCCCGGGACCCCCAAAGCTTCACATCCCCAGGTCGGGGATTCTCACAGCGCAAGGATGGCTCTCATCAGGGGCTGCTGGACACCAAAACCGGGCAAATTCACCCCAAAATGGGGAGGTAGGAAAAAAAACTGAGATTTTCCCCAAAAACGTGGAGATTTTCCCCAAAAAATGGGGATTTTCCCCCCAAAAATGGGCATTTTTCCCCAAAAAATGGATAATTTCTCCCCTCAAAACCAGAGATTTACACACAAAAATAGGGATTTTCACCCCAAAATAGGGATTTTAAAAAAAAATTGAGATTTTTTTTCCCCCAAATGAGGATTTCTCCCCAAAAAAATGGGAGTTTTTCCCCAAAAAATGGAGATTTTTTCCCCCAAAACAAGAGATTTATCTCCAAAATGGGCATTTTTACCCCAAAATGGGGATTTAAAAAAATAATGGAAGATTTTTCCCCACAAAAATGGGGATTTTTTTTAAAAAAAGGGGATTTTTCCCCCAAAAGGGGGATTTTTCCAATGAAAATGGGGATTTTTTCCACCCAAAATGGGGATATTTCCCCAAAAAATGTAGATTTTTTCCTCCCAAAACAAGAGATTTACCTCCAAAAATGGGAATTTTCACCCTAAAAAGGGGATTTTTTTAAAATTGAATTTTTCCAAAAAAAGGGGGATTTTTCCACCCAAAATGGGGATTTTTTCCCCCAAAAATGGAGAATTTTTCCTCTCAAAACCAAAGATTTATCTTTAAAAATGGGGATTTTCATGCTAAAATGGGGATTTTTTAGAAAAAATTGAGTTTTCCCCCACAAAATAGGGATTTTTTCCAATGAAAATGGGGATTTTTCCCAAAAAAATGGGGTTTTTTTCCCAAAAATGGATAATTTTCCCCCTCACAACCAGAGATTTACGCCCAAAAATAGGAATTTCCACCCCAAAATGGGGATTTAAAAAAAAGTAATTTAGACTTTCCCCCCAAAAATGGGGATGCTTCCCAAAAAAATGGGGATTTCCCCCAAAAAAAAGAAGATTTTCCCCCGAGAAATGAGGATTTTTCCCCAGAATTGAGGATTTCCCCCAAAAAATGGGAATTTTCCCCTCAAAAATGGGGATTTTCCCCTCAAAAATGGGGATTTCCCCCCAAAAATGGGGATTCTCCCCACAAAAATGAGGATTTTTTCCCCCAAAAGGGGATTTTACCCAAAAAAAGAGGATTTTTTCCCAAAAATGGGGATTTTTCCCCCAAACCCACCCGGAGGCTCCTCAGGGACTCGGGCAGTTCCTCGCTCAGCTGCACCTCGGGGTCGGGATCCTCGTAGCTGCAAAGCACCAAAATTGGCATTTTTGGCCTCAAAATGCCCATTTCCAACCCCAAATCCCACCCAAATCCCATTCCCCCCTCAAACCCCATTTCCACCCCCAAATCCCCTTTTTTCCCACCCCAAACCCCATTTCCCTCCCCAAATCTCAATTTCCCACCCTAATCCCCGATTTCCCATCCCAAATCCCCCATTTCCCACCTTAATTCCAGGGCCAGCCGGGCACGGGCGCGGGCACCGGCCTGGGCACAGACCCCATAAACCATCAGGGATCCCATAAATGAACCCCTGACCCCACAGAGCCAACCCTGATCCCACAAACCCAGCCCTGACCCCACAGACCCAGCCCTGATCCCACAGACCCAGCCCTGACCCCACAGTCCCAGCCCTGACCCCACAGAGCCAGCCCTAACCCCACAAACCCAGCCCTGATCCTGCAGATCCATCAGGGATCCCACAAACCCAGCCCTGATCCCACAGTCCCAGCCCTGACCCCACAGATCCCTCCCTTGTCCCGCTCCCCTCAAGTCCCAATCCTGACCCCAACCGTGATCGCGCTCCTGACCCGAATCCCAATCCCAATCGTGATCCCAATCCCAACCCCACTTCCCTCAATCCTGACCCCAATCCCAACCTCAATCCCCTCAATCCTGACCCCAATCCCGAGCCCACTCCTCTTAAATCCCAACCCCAATCCCGACCCCACTCCCCTCAATCCTGACCCTATCCCAATCCCAATCCCAATCCCACTCCCACTCCCCTCAACCCCAATCCCAAATCCCAACCCCAATCCCCCTCACCTTCTCCCTCAGCTCCTTCTCCCTGTGCCACTGTTTCTCGGTTTTCCTCTGGAGCTGTTCCCGGTGCCCCCAATCCCAATCCCGACCCCAATCCCGGCCCCAATCCCAGTCCCAGTCCCAACCCCAATCCCAATCCCAACCCCAATCCCACTCTCACCTTCTCCCTCAGCTCCTTCTCGCGGCGCCGCTGTTTCTTGGTTTTCCGCTGGGGCTGTTCCCGGTGCCCCCAATCCCAATCCCAGTCCCAACCTCAATCCCAACCCCAATCCCACTCTCACCCTCTCCCTCAGCTCCTTCTCGCGGCGCCGCTGTTTCTCGGTTTTCCGCTGGGGCTGCTCCCGGTGCCCCCAACCCCAATCCCAATCCCAATCCCAATCCTGACCCCAATCCCAATCCCAATCCCAACCCCAATCCCACTCTCACCTTCTCCCTCAGCTCCTTCTCGCGGCGCCGCTGTTTCTCGGTTTTCCTCTGGGGCTGCTCCCGGTGCCGGGGCGGATCCCGCTCCTCGTCCTCCTTCTCCTGCCCTTCCTCCTCCTCCTCCTCCAGCAGCCCCTGCAGCTGCTCGCGCAGCACGGCCTCCTGGGGACCCCAAAGTCGGGGAGTCAGACCCCAAATCCTGGCGGTCAGACCCCAAATTCGGGGGCAGACCCCAAATTCTGGGGCTCAGACCCCAAATTCCAGAGCTCTGACCCCAAATTCTGGGGATTGGACCCCAAATTCCAGGGCTCAGACCCCAA